ATTGTATTATATATAAAAATTATACATATACACACACATATTTAAGATTTTAAAAGTATTTATATAAATTAAAAGCACTTCGGACAAAAGAGAGCAGCTCAAAAATTGGCACTTGAGGACTGAAAATACTACTTTCTCCAACAAACAGAGCAAATAATCAAAACAAACATATTTAAGATTTTAAAAGTATTTATATAAATTAAAAGCACTTCGGACAAAAGAGAGCAGCTCAAAAATTGGCACTTGAGGACTGAAAATACTACTTTCTCCAACAAACAGAGCAAATAATCACAACAAAAAGCTATCATCCTCAGAAATTTAGATTTAAATTTAACATGTGAACATAGCAACATGTTGCTTTCTAACACTATCATGAAGAAGTCTTCCAATTCTCACAGCTGTCAGCAGTACAAACAGAATGTTATCAGCAAAATATCCTTCTCCCAAAGGCAGTCTAATATATAGTTAAGGTGCAGGCTGAACTTGTAAGATGATTGCAAAATATTAATTAATTGCTTTAGAAGGAATACTATCTGAAAAACTAGGATATCACTGACAATAAATTACGCTAAATTCAGACAAATACTTTCTAAAGACCAAAAATTATCTGAGTTACAAAAAGGTCAGGAAGTCAAATATCGGACATGAAATGTAAGATGCATCATAATTCTGAAGGTGCTTATAAATGGATAACCTGAAGTTCCAGAAGATACATTAAAAGGAATTCAGGAAGAAATAAAAATCCTTCATCTTGGTTTTCAAGTAATCATGGAATAATGATACCATAGTAATATAAGCATACAGAATCCCTTCTCAAATGCAACAGAAAATACAGCATCAGCTCCTCTTTTCCCTGAAACCAAGTAAGTGATAAAAGAAACAGTAACCATCTTGACCTTAAGGTTTTTGTAAGTTTTTTTTAATTAAATACTACATATTCTGAAGCAAACTTTTCCACTTCAGCTATTTTTACCAGTTTATTAAATTGTTTTGGCAGTGAAGCACTGTTGGAAAAAAAATGTTTTTAAACTATCCAAAACATACAGGAGACACTGCGTTAAAGCATATATGGTTTATGGAAGCATAATGATCTGGTAAGTGACAAAGAAAGTATATTTGACCCCAACCACTACAGAAATGTACATTCAATAGTATGTACAACATGAAGTAGCTATCATAATTTGAGAATGCTGTAAAGACTGAGTTTAACTGTGTTTCTTCAAACAATTCCATTTTAATTTAGAAAGCCCAGCACCTGTTTGGTATCGGTGAGATGTTTCTCAGTATATTTTATGAGAATAGAATGATTATTTCAGCTGAACAATACTGCTGTATTTTAACATAGGCATCAGTTGAACTGGGACAGCTGTGAAAGGTTGTCCGAGAAAGCTGAGAGCTACAGGCAGAAACGTAACAACATGGCAGATTTCACAGAAGTCGTAGTTAGTGTAGGGAGGACGACAGTCCAGCAAGGACATAAAGTAAGATCAAATTAGAATTAAGTATCAGTTTTTAGAATAAGTCTATGGTTTAAAGATGACAGATTAAAAATATTATGTCAAAACTCATATTTCAGACAAGTGTAATATTCATCATATTTAAATACCTGCTTTTCATATTGAGACTGGGCTCTGAACTACCATTTCTTGCATGATCTGTATAAAATTCAATTTTAAGTGTTTCATCATAAAAAGCAAAGTTACATACTGTCTACATAGATGAGGACATACATATTCTCCAAATTCTTTAGCTACATTTACTTTATTTGACACCCAAGGGCACTCTAGCTCCCCCAGGTAAACTTTTCGTAAAATGGCACAAGAGAAATAAAAGACAAGTTTCTACATTCAGGAGTCTTGGATTTTGTTCGGAGACATGCCAACCATCGCAAGTGGTGTGACACAGGAAATAGGAGAGAGAAATGGAAAAAACAGGCAAGGTAACATCACTGATTACCCTCATTAACTTACTAAGTACAGGTCTGGATTGTGTTACTGTATTCTTGCACACAGATTTCTCTATTTTTTTTTCAGGCACTGTTTTCTCTGTTACATTCAGGTGAAAAGGGCATTTGACTGAGCAGCATGAGTGAGTACAGATCTGGATTGTGTTACTGTATTCTTGCCACAAGATTTCCCTATTTTTTTTTTCAGGCACTGTTTTCTCTGTTACATTCAGGTGAAAAGGGCATTTGACTGAGCAGCATGAGTGTTCATAGCCTTGTGGAAAGTGATACCTGAAGTTCCGACATAGAACAAAAACACTTGGGCAAAATTATGTTACCCATTCACCCAACCTAACATATAGTATTATTACATGTTCTGTGCAAGTATCGGAACACAGTGTAAAATACAACTTAAAATGTAGTTATATTAGCCAGTTGCATGGATAGCACATAGGGAGACCTAGAAATAGTGTTATGGAGAACAGAATTATGCTAATAACTTTATAGAAAGGTGCATAACCACAGAAATATTATTTAAAATACAGCTTAACTGCAGCTTCCCACTGCATATGTTTTTATCTCTCAACAGACTGATAGCGAAGCCTAATATAAGCAGCTATAAACTTTCTTCTATGAAATGCACAGCAAGAGATAAGACTTTTGATGGACTTTTAACACATAAGCCAGGGTTTATCAGCCAAACAGGAAAGTTTATTGTTAAAAGAGAAACAATTTAACTTCATTGTCTTCCAAATCCAGGCTTCCATGTCAACTGCTATCAAAAACAGGAAGAAAACAAGGCAATTGCTCACACCATCTGAATAAAGTTATTAATGACTTTGAATTGGAAATATTTAGTCTGTTATATGAGTTACCTACTGCAAAGTCCATAGCCCCTCAACAATTTCCCCCTTTTTACAAATGTAAAGCAGCCACTTAAAACCAAACAATAATATCCTGTGGCTATTGGATTGCTCAGAGATCAACTCCAAAATTAATCACTTGCAGCTTGAATAAACAGTTTGTTCAGAAAGTACATTCAAATATTATCTGTTCGTGTAGGCCTTTTTATACATCTCAGCAATTCACAACTTGTAAGAACTACACCAAAAATTCTGGTGTATAAAAGACAGCACAAAGCAATAAAAGAGCAAAGAGAATATATATCTGTTTTAGATGGGAATATTTAAATAATACTAATCTGCAAGTTTAATTAAGCAGAAATCTGTGCCCAAACTGAACTCAAGCTTCAAATGTATAATGCCTTACAAACAATTCAACTAGTGAAGCATTTCAGCAGTTTTCTGTGAACTGCTTTTAATGATGATTTTCTCTTCTGGTAATTTAATTTATTTACACCCATTCCTTACCTATGCTTTCTTTTCTTCCAGATTTCCCTTAAAAATGTACTTATCTCTAAGCTAATGCTACCTTACATAGTACTGTAATTTTTTAACTTGATCCAACTACCACTACTCGTACTTGTATTTGAATATCCTTATTTCATATTGTTCAAAATAGTATAGCAGAAACGACTTAGTAAGCATTGATGCTTGAAGATGTTATTAAATAGAATTTTAAACTTATGAGCAAAAGATAGCAAAAAAACAAGATCTCACCTGTTCAGAAAAGCATTTCCAAAGCGACTGAGTTTGCGGAACGGCTTCTTAGGATCAACAACCAGGGCATTTCCAGGAACACTTCCTTCTGAATCTCCATACATCACAGCAATAAAAGAATCTGTAGTAGGCTCTGGACCAATGCGCATGCCTGGAAAATCCTGTTCGAGCAGGTACCTAGAGATAGATAGCACATAAAGGAACAAAATGAATGAGATTGCATGACAAAAATAAATATCTATAATTCTCTAGAAAATTCTCAAGGATGTATATGCTCTAGAGTTATAACATTACATTTTTACCACTTTTCCTGTATTTCACTATTTCTGTTAGGTAGGAAAAACAAAACAAACCCAGGGAAGTAAATTCAATTTTTTCACAACAACTAGGTAATAGGATAAAGGCAGACAATCCCTCTACAGAACAGGCCTGGAAAGTATTCCCTCAGCTACAGCAGGCACCTAGTCCATTCAAACCCATGCCTCTACTGAAGATCACAGCGTTATAATTAGAGTACATTACTCGGCCTGTTGATGGAGGTTGGATGATGTTGAAGTCATGCAACATTGTACCCACAAAAAGACTTTTACACCTCCTGAGAAAGCTACTTGGAGACACAAATGTCATGTACTCAGTGGACCATGTCTGATAAAGCAAGTCTCAACTTTCAAGACAACAAGATCTCAAACAAAGGATGCACATATTTGAATGCTAAAAAAATAACAGACCTGAAGCTCGTTGATATCTCTTTCTGGATGGAAGGTGAAAAGCCATAGAACACTTCAGCCTATGAAGTAAAACCTCCAGCTTACAAAATTACTCCAGACACCACTATTGAACTTATTTTTCTTTTGAAAAAGAAGAAAATCACTCTATTTTTACAATATATGAGTCTTTATTCATAACAGGACCATCTTTAAATTTATCATCTTGAAAGACTAAGACCAAATAGCTTTTTCAGGATGTTGTAATTTGACATTACAGAGTCATTAAAATTCTCTCTCAAGAGAGCTAAGTAAAGTCTTACCAATAATTACTAATTCCACAAGTTTCATGTCACCTTGGAGTTCCTCAAGCCAATTTTGACCAACTAAGATTTATCTTTTTTTTAAAAAAATAAATAATCTAGTTTTAAAACAGAATTCTTCAGACATGCGTGATGGTCCCACATGCGACAGAAGTACTAGATAGCTTCTGAGCATGTTTTGGATCAACACAAGTCTCTGAGCAGTAGGATTGTCCTGGTTCTTAATCTCACAACAGTTGCCTATTCCTGTATTATTTCATGAGGCAATATTGGTTTGAGAGACTTGAAGTTGCTTTAACTGCAAAGATGCCATTAAGTATCTGTACTCACCGATAAGAACTGTTTTTTGCTGAAGAATCCTCTTTGTCCTCTCTCCAGTGCCGAAACACTCAAAGTAGTTACTATACCAGTGCACTGTACCTAATTTTAATCAAATAAATCTATGCTACCAATTTCAAAGATTTCTTCCTACTAGCCTTATTAAGCTGTTTCCAAGCAGCTCAGTAATTTTCCTTGAAGCTGCAGGGAACAATTCTATTTTCTTATGTGGAGCCTATGATCTAAGAGGTTGAAAGCAGAGAACAGCTAATAACTGTGGTTTACTGCAACATTCTGCTTCCAAATAATATATACACACACACACACACATACATGTGTATATATATATACATATATACACACACACACATATATTGCTAAAAACTATTGAGGACAGAACATGCTGAAGGAATTTGTTCTGCTTCTAGAATAACCTGTAGCTGTTGCACTGAGACAGACAAATAAAACAAACTAATTTCCAAAAGGAAAGCAACAACAACAAAACTCTCCACACCTGCATAAGCATACAATGCCTTAAATATATAACTTAGTTGGTAAAGATGAAAGAACAAAGTGAAGAAAAAAATTCTTTCGGAGCTCAAGCCTCTAGCTCCTTATGCATGAGAATATTGGAGTTTCAAGTACTTGAATTCCTGAAACAGAAAAGCATATCTCTACCTTCTCATGGTGTACCATGACAGGCTGTAGTCTCCCAAAACAGTCTGCAATGACTCTTTTGTAACAGACATTAAAAAAGTCTTTATCTGCAGCACTGATGTTGAAAAGCTAATAATGCTTTTAACTTCTAAAATGAGATCTCAACCTGCCATGATAAACTGATCTATTTTTTAAAAAAATCTCTCATTTCTGATTTTTCTCACTGCCCTTCTTTCAAGAGAAGAGAAATCTCCATTGGATTCATAACTAAGTTCTTTTCTTGATGTGAATCATCACTGCCAGGCTTCTGCTGGCAGAGGGCAAGCAATTTGTAAGGTGCTGACACAAGCAACAAGAAGCTCCCAGAACAGCAGCGAGCAACATTGCACCCAATCAGATGGGCATAAGAAAAGTCCTGGACCCCAAGTCAAACAGAACTACATCATGGAATCTGCATGCAGGATAGCAGCCTTCAGAACAGGAACAGTGCACATTCAGGTTATCTGCATAGTCCAGTACTATCTAAGTGCTACTGTGAATCTAAGTGCTACTGAATTGCAATGACAATTCAAACTAACTTCATAGATACAGCTTAAAAACAAACAAACCCCAAAACAGTAAAACAAAATGAACCAGCTTTTATAATGACAACAATCCATGTTGGTAAGAGCTCCTTCCAAATACCAAGTCTCATCCAATCATCACAGCACAGGATCTGTTCAGATATTCAGCAGACGCAGGGAGCACATTGCACAAGGCAATTAAGATATTGTCTGACAGTCACGCATCAAGAATCATTAAGTCCTAAAATAAACCTTAGATGTTAGTGCTATCACACTTCCTTTCAACATGAAAATAGCAGCTCCACTTAGCTGCACAAAAGGGAAGACCATAAACAGAAATGCTTCAATTTTTTGTACAGTATCCTACATTAAGATAGGAAAATACCTGTATTTTTACCATCCATGACCCATGGCCTTCTCAGGAATTTTCAGCAGAGGGGGAGTTCAACAAGGTTCACAGGAAGAATGCTTAAAAATAGCATATGTCCCAAAGACAGTCTAGATCAAACAACAGACATCCTGTTGATTCAAGGCACTTGCTCTTCTCCCTTTGTGTTTACCTGGGCTATAACCTATCTCCTTGGCTAGTAAACATCCTTCTACTCCCCTTTGCAAGATTTGTAGTCAAACTACGGGAAACTTATATAGAAGTTCCAGAGTCAGCCAAGATTCCCCAGAGCTCCTGATGCCAATAACTATCAGAGGTTTTAACACTTCAGCTAGGCCACACTAACACTCCAGTGCAGCCTTGCCAGACTGAGCAGCACTGGACAGGGACATATGAGGGACTGTTCTGCTGCATGGAGATACAGGCATGTGGTACGGAGAAGGAAGTTAAACTTTAGAACCCTCAAGAAACTTTTTTTTTTCTACCCCCAAAAAACATGTAGCCCATTCTTGCCACACAACCAATTGCCATTTTCTTGCAAACTCCAAATATTATGCTTTTACAAAATTCAGCTCTATCTCAGTTAAATAGAAGGAAGTCTATCATTTTAACCTCTGAATAACTTCTGAGGAAATGAAAAGCACAGCTTAACAAGTTGTGGAATTTAAATGTTTTTTCCTCATCTTGATGAGTGTTTTTTTTTTTTTTAAAAAAAAAAGAAAAACAGTCTCTTACATTTCTTAAAATAACAGTTACTAACGCACTAAATGCAATACGATAACAGACCAGAAGTTTAATTAATCTTTAGAAAGAAAGAGGTCGGTGACTACAGGCTGTGATACAGCACAGACCAGCTCCCCCCTCTGACGTACTACGATTCCTTTGTTCTTCCTTTCACCTCTTCTTCTCCTAGAGCAGCCTTGACAAATGGGGGACGGCAGAAGCACAGCAGGTATGTTGTCAAGCAGCTTATGGGCAGGATGAGCGCTCTTTTTGCCGTCTTCCCACCCCATTAAAAACAAGCAGACAAAAGCAAGCATTGCTATTTAGACCTTAGTGTATTTGTTCCCATTATCAGCACCGTCACACCCTTCAAACGATACTGCCACACTGCACCTTACTCTGATGGTGAAACTGACTAGTTTCACTTTACCGTTCTTGTGAAAGATCAGGAATACAGTTAGAACTAGAAATCTAGAAAAAAAAATATATATTTTGAATCTTAACACTTAAGTTCATTTGATCATTACTAGATCTATGTTTTCCATGAAAATACGGTAAAGTAATGGGTGAATGTGTACGCCTCAAGCATTCTAAAAATGTACAATTCTCACGGTAACTTCTACATAAAATCGTGTTTTATTAAAAAGCACAAAAAAATATATCCCAAATGACTATTTATCACGTAAGAAATTTTTAGGTTTGTATATAAACATAATAGTAAGCAGTAGAGTAGCACTCCTTTAATTCCATTTGTCACCAAGGTAGCAACAGCTAAGCATACGTTCTGAGGAATTATTCATCTAGATGAAACTAATGTTTTACAGCCTCAGAAATCAAAACCAAACCCTCCTCCACTGAAGTGTACTATCTTGTGTCTTCTATGCAAGATGTAGTTCTCCATAAGAAGTTGACTATGAAATGTAGAACTGGGAAACAGAGAGTAGTTTTAATTAATATTTTAAATAATGTTTGCCTGTTGAAAGGCTGTCAGGAAAAAAAAGAAAAAGATTCAGCCTAACTTAATTCTAAGAATCATTATCTATAAAAAATTGATTTGAAACAATTCCTTTAAAGAGTGAGATAGCACTTTTTCATTGAAAATGCACCTTATTAGAGAGAATTTGTATGTGATTAACCTGGACATTCTAATAATTTCCCATTTCTTCTTTCACAAGTCATGCAAGCAGAATACACAAGCAGAATTTTACTTCTCATGTTTTTGCTCTTTTTTCCTCTCCGCCTTTTGAATGTCAATCAACACAGTGTAACTTTTATATTGCTATCATAAACCGTGTCCATTTTGATGGAGTGTGTTCTCATTCTGATAGTTTTTAATCTATTCTATGGTGAATGCAGATGTAATGAACATTTATCTGGTTTCCCCGGGGACAATGTCGGACTGTGGTTCCATAGCAGCAATAACAGCTGTTTTATTACAGATTGTGTCTCAAGGGTGAATTCCTTTCTGAGTTCTTTGATATCTAATATGGGATTAAACCACACTGCAACCTACCTACAATGGTAGAAGAAAAGGGGGGAAGACAAGGGCAGAATATTCTTCCTTTACTCAGTCAAGTATTTTTATAAAGCTCTTAAGAAAATACTTTGGCGACCTGTCAAATGTAGTTGACAGTGGGTTCAAAATTTGTCAGGATGTCTTCTGCCAAGAGTGACCATTGAAGCCTCATTTCCTTGGGATATTAGGCTAAAAGACTGGAAATAATTGTAATATGTTTCCTTTCTAGCCCAGACTGTACATAAATATCAATCAATATTGCTCTACATTTTACAGGACACGTATAAAGTGATAACTGGTTACTTACAAAGCAGCAGTATCAAAATAGTTATGAAGCGCTACAAGGAGTATCAGTGTTTCTAAGACTGGTATTGACTTAAACTTCAATCCAATATAGGCAGCTACAGAGGGCAGAAAACGTGAATGGCTACAAATCAAGAACATGTTCTTGTCTCAGGCAAACTCTTATAGGAACGGGAAGGGAAAAAAAGTCACCTATGAGTTGCAAATGACACAGCAACTCAGCTGACAGGCTGGACAGGTTCTGCTAAGTCAATCTGAACCATTCTGTCTCAAAGTTACCCACCTTACTTTTTCCATTTGCCAAGAACAACATCTAGCTGCAATTATACTCAGGCCCACAAAGCAGTTTTAATGTGAACACCAACAAGTCAATCAGCAAGTCCTTAACAAATGTTAGGGGAAACCCAAGTTACCCCAGTCCCTGCACTTTCTGGCAACTGCCTTTCTGGATCCTGAAACTAAGTTTCTCTTAATTATATCCCTGTTTCTATTTTTACACTGTACACAAGTGTGTGCAACGATTCAGTAACAGCCTTTAAAGAACTGAGTTCTTCTTTAGGCTTCCAATCAGCAAGTGGTGAAACAGGAAAAGAACCATGACGGGCTCGGTAAACATCTGAAAACTGCTCAGGTGAGTTAAGGCAGACACTGTTCTTCAGCGCACAAGAGAGGTCCGTCTTTTGCACAGTAAAATGAACAAGTAACTTACAGCAGGGGTGCCAGTAACCTTTGAAACGAAAAGAGAAAGTTTTTTGAAGATTGTTTTTCAAGAAAGGCTCTGACGAACTTTAGATGTAAGAAGGAGGCAAACGTTTGATCCAGCCCAACTCTCGGCATCCTTTGGGTAGTTTTAAATTATCTTCCTGGGAGATTTCTGAGAAGCATTTAAGAGCCAAACACCACAACAAGCACATGCTAGACATTCACAGTTTCCTAATAACGGAGCCACCTCAGCCTCCTCTCATCACAGTCAGCACTTAGCTAAGGAAAACAGTGTATTGCAGTAGGCTACTTTTGGGAAAAAAAAAAAAAAAAAACGGGAAGGAAACGGTTAAACTGCGCGCGATGACTGATGC